TTCTAATTTTCAACAGCTCCGCGCTACACTCCCCGTCTCTATCTTCATCTCCCCTAACCTCGCCATCGATGAGAACAACAACTTGATCGATCAGACCCCTCAGTCCGCACAAAGAGCAATCAGCGACATCGCTCAGCAAGCTCCTCCCTTGTATGGCGAGCACCAGTTCGATCAGTTGTACAGCGAACTTGACCCTTCGGGTTACCGAACACCGGGACCGGGAAGTGGTCCTGGCACTCCTTTCGGAGCCCTTAGCCGCAACATCTCCGTGGAAAACCTTGCTTCGATGAATGCGTTGACCAACACCGATATCTCAGCGTCTGCATTGCATAGCCGTCTGTCAAGCCTTCGTGCCAACCTACACAATCACCCCTCGCCGCCTGAACACGAACATCATTCAGATACTGAAACCCGCCGCCTTGGCGTTCCCCCCGATTACTTCGGACCTTCTTCGGGGGGCTCGGGCTCAAATTCCCACAGTCCCGCCAGTCCCGAGCTTTCCCGACGCCCCTCGGATGAAGTCATTGATCACGACCCTATTCACTCCGGCATGGCTACTCCCTACCATCCCCAGTACGCCGAAGTCGAAACCCTCAGCCGTGTCCCTAGTTATTCTACAGCCGTTCGTACCAGTGTGCGCCCGTGCGACTCTGGGCTGCCGGATTATCAAGCGGTGATCGCCGAGGACGTTGTCTCTTCCACTCCCCAGTCCCCCCAGCAGGCTTACATCCGCAGCCGTGGGAGCAACACATACCTGCCTTCTTTGGACTCCCTTCAGACTCGTACTGGCTTTCTCGGCTCTCGTGCTCCCCATCACGACGATGATGACCGACGCTTGCGTCTCGTTCAAGCTCGCGCCCGGTAAACCTAGGTCGCTTGTGATCAACGACTCAACGTGCGTCTTTCGAATCTTATCACGAGACACGCAAAAACTACGATTCTGGGCGTGGCCGGCTCCCCCCTGCTTATCACCAAACATACTACAACCGCACATAATTATCCACTACGAATGGACGCGGGACGTCTTGAAACATCGCATTACACCCTAGCTCATGTCATCGAAATACAATCCGCACATACCGTCTCTTGACAACAGCATTGACCTCACGACGGTACTTCTCAAACACATGTTGCATGGTTGGATTGGCGCGCAAGGATAGGAAGATGGAATAAATGGCGTTTGCAAATAAATAATAGAAGGACTGGGACATTACGGACAATAACCTGGCGTTATCTTTGCTTCTCTTCTCTTTACCTCTTTACCTCTGGATCTCTTCTCTGAAATCTTCATTCGGAAGACGGGTACATTTACGAGTTACGGTCATGACCAGCAGCAGTTCATATGATTTCTGCATTATGTATGTATTTAAAAGCATCAAAAAAAACACAAGAGAAAGACGACATGAGACTACATGACTACATATTTCATCGCCATGATGGCTCGGTATGAATTGAATCATGAAATTTATAGAAAATATTCCGGTTGATATGTAAGTTGTCAAGTTGTTTGCGTAGAGTGCTCTTTGTATGCGAGGGATGATATCATTTTGGGGATGGGATGGCGGTACGGGTGGCAGTTTTTGCCGGCCCGATCTGGAAAGGTGTGTGAGAGAGGAAATAGTGGGGCCGGAATCGGGCATCTCCTTTGCACTTTTCCCCATGGCTGCAATTGGCATGCTTGCTTGCAGAGTTCCCGATGCATTTCTAGGCTCTCTGGGCTCTCTCAACTGCATCTCGATGATGGCCTAACGGAATTGAGCTGCCTGTCCGGATTGAGTGAGGTACAGTTCAGTCCAAGCTTAGCGAGAAAGAAAAGTCAAAAGAAAAAGAAAAGGAGGGGTCGACGACATCCATCATGGGCGGTGACTTCATCGGTCGATCCCCTTTCCTCTCCTCGACGAACAACGAGCTGCTCATAAACTCGCCTCCAACCCTTCTTCTATTCTCTTGCTCCTCGATCGTCTGCTTCTAAACCATCTCTGCGTATTGGGAGAGACTGACTGCATTGTATGTCATTTGACTTGAATCTTTGTTCCCCCTTCAGTCCTGTTCCCCCTTTTCTTTCTCCATCCGTCGTCGTCATCCGACAGCCGTGACTGACATTCGCAGTTCCTATTCCCGTCCCTTACCAGAGGAGCCCCACCTCCGCTTCAGCGTGGAACTCGACAAAGACAAGCCCCCCTAATCATCCGACTAGTCCTCGATCGCGCTTCCGGCTCCTCCACTCCTGCGCATCTGCAGCAGCGGCATTTTTCCCTTTATCTGTCATCTTTGCCCTCGATCGACTCGACCGCTCCGACTACCAGGTGTTTGCGAACCATACCCATTCTTCAACCTAAATCGCAGCAGCAATGTCGGCTACCACCAGTCCCATCGAGCAAAAGCTCCCTGAGCGTACAGCGACCATTGGGAGCACCATGACCCGGCGCACCTCGGGCAGTGATGACGAGGCCATTCCCGACTCCGATAGCAATGAGGTATGCCGCGATAAGACATTATCCATCGCAAACCTCGAGGACAGCTAACTAACGGACTGTGCTAATTGCCATTTCTGCTCGTCAGACCACCAACCTTCTCCTTGAACGTCTTCGAGCTTGGAAGCACATGTGTGGATACCTGGAGGACTATGTTTCGACAACTGCCAAAATCTCGAAGTCGCAAGCGAAGGATTTCGAGAAGGTCTTAAAGGTGCGCGAAGCTGGGACTTTCGCCTATTCATGGAAGTTGTGTTGCGTCGGATGCTGATTGAGATGTAATTATTGCGCAGACTGTCAATGAGCCGCTCCGGGAAGGGCACCACTTCTCTCAAAGTGTGGGCGGAGTTGCTTCATGGTTCGAGAACGTCAGGTCCAACACTCAGGTATGCTGCCAGAACGTGGAATCTTGTCGCATCAATCACAGCTGCTAAGAGATCTGCAGGGTATGGTAAACTTGTATCTCGACTCGGAAAAGAACTTGAAGGGGTCCGTACTTCCGACGCTGGAGCGCCTTCACAAGGAAATCAAGGCCAAGTCCAAAGAGCTCCAGGGAGGAGCTGCGAAGGGTGCTAAGGCCGTTGATAAAGCCCGGGGAGTCACTCAAAAGCATATCGAGTTGCTCGCCCAGCACACGGCCACGTTGGATGCGGCCCACGGTAACAAGATCGACACAGCGCACGACCCTTACATCTTGCGTCGGGGTGTTGTTCATCGCCTGAACAAGCAGGTCATCGAGGAGAATAACAATCGTCAAGATATTATTGCGGTACAGAACAACTTCCAGCAGTTCGAGGCTCATGTCCTGCAAACCGTTCAGAGCGCCATGGAGCAGTTCACCGTCTACATGACTACCCAGCTCGACCGCCACCGGACTATGTACAGCGATATACTTGCCTCGGCACAGCGCGTTCCGCCTGATTTCGAATGGGTCAACTTCATGACCCGAAATGACCATATTCTCGTCAACCCTGACGCCCCTCCGAGGTCTCTCGCCAATATTACTTTCCCCAACCAGGACCACCGTGCCACCAAGCCTCTCATTGAGGGCCTCCTTGAGCGCAAGTCCCGCGCCATGCTTAAGGGCTACAGCAGCGGCTATTACGTCGTGACCCCCGCTCGGTACCTGCACGAATTCAAGGACAACGATGACCTTCGCAAGGACCCTCATCCTGAGCTTTCCCTCTATCTTCCCGACTGCGTCATTGGTGCCATCGACGGCGTCAAGTTCAACGTCAAGGGCAAGGACGTCTCTGGAGGCAAGGTCGGAAACGCCTTCCACACCAACACCGAGTTGAGCTTCAAAGCCACCAACCCGAACGAGGCCGAGAAATGGTGGACCATCATCAAGGACGCTACTCGTGGTCCGGCACACACTAGCAGCAGCACCACCACGTCGCCGACCACCCCCGCCCCCATCGACACGAATCAGCCCCCGGCCTACGCTGAGAAGGAGGCTGCTTCTGCCGGTGGCGCCACTCAAGCCCAGACTCCCATCACCCCTGCCAGCGCGGCTCCCGCCAGCGCTGGGCCCGCCGGTATCACCCGCACCGATACCAGCGGTACCGGCACTTTGCCCACCGTCAACACCACTGCAACTGCGGCTGGTGCCCAAGCTCCTTCCCCTACTGTGGAGAAGACCGCCTGAGCGGTCTGTGGATGTAGTCAGTCGGATTTTCCTTTTGGATCGATGCACAGTCGACTGCTTTCTGTTTTCGCTCTGATTAAGCGGTGGATTCTGTTTGTTTCGCAAAGGAACCAAATCACTTGTGGCCTCTTTCGTTATCATGTGCCTCTGACCTCCGAGTCCCATATTTTCTCCTCATTTACCTTCAATTTGCCAGGAGGCGTAGCTTGACTGTACTGGTTATAATCACCAAGCGACAAGCCGCTGCTTTGCAACACGTTTCTCTAATGTATTGAACCTTGGATGCTAGTGCTATTGTTGCTAGTTTGGCTAATGAAAGCTGGATTGTGCTGGTCTATTATCATGAGTGAGCGACACCCTGATTCTCTGTACCATGTACTGTAGTATTTCCTTCGTCGTGAACAGGACAGAAAGGTGAAAAGGGTTGTAATCAATTGATCCATGGACTTGATGGTATTTGAACAGTAGAAATAGCTATGGACGGAAGACGCTTCGAGGGCACAATAAACAAATGAAAAGTGCGAATGAGAATACATATGCTTGAACCTATATGTCACGCAAAGCCCGATCTGTGTTCAAACGGTTGATGACAGTACCAGCAGATAGACGGGATGATGATGTTGGTGGTGATGGACGACGACGATGATATCATGAGCCCGCTCAGAGAGTATGAAAGAAGAATAGATAGATGGCTGGAGATTCAGGTCAAACAGTTAGGTAGATAGCTTGCCAGACCAGATGTGAATCCAGAATTTGCTAAAGAGGTTTGAGCGAGCAGCTGGACTTCTAAACCACGGGTGATCTGAAAGACCATTAGGCGTATAGCGGCAGCAGCAGGACAGAAGGGAAGTAGGGGAAATGGGAGCGGTGACAGGGCTCTAGAAGTCCTCCGGACTTTCTAGGTCTTCTAGCTTCTGGCTTAGGAACCGACCCAAGGCGGCGGATTTGGACTCTAGGGCGAGAAGGATCTCCGGCGCAGCGGAGAGGTTCAGCGTGGCCAAACGGGCAAGGTCGCTACTGCGGTCGATCTCGTATTGGGTCTCTAGGTGCGAGTCTGTTTGCGAGTCGCTTGTGTCACCGCCGCCCCCGCCACCACCACCTGGAGCGCTGGCGCCGTTACTTCGGCCGCCCCCGGTGTTGGATGATACGACGCTGGCGTAGGTGCGGACATTGTGGGTGTTGTTGGAGGTGGAGTCGGGGGTGTTTGCGCCTGATGCATGGTGGTGGTGGTGGTGCGTGGAGCCGTTCGGGGTTGCGTGTGTGTGACCGTTTGTGGTGCTGGCGGATGCATCCTGGGCGCTGTTGCTGCCCAATCTGGAGGGTCCGATGGCGGCCAGGAGGACCTTGTCGGCTATTGGGGTGACGACGGCAACCGAGTCGTCGAGCTCAAAGACAATCGATCCGACGTCGCCGAGAGATACGGAGGGAGTGGTCACGTATGACGAAGGATGGCTGGCGGGGTTCACGCCGGTGAGGTTGCCTGTCGAGGCATTCTTTGCGTAGCAGGTATAGGCTGCGCCGTAGGTGGCGCTTAGATTGCGGAGTTGGCGGGATGACAGGGTCGAGGCGTAGGCGAAGATGGCGCCGTTGGTAGAAAAGACTCTGTTAAGTATGTGTGGTTAGCAGATGTCTATTGGCGGTAGGTTTCTTGCAGTGAACGGATGTATGTACGAACACTATCGATGTAATTTCGGGAGGTGAGAGGTTGTCTTCTAGCAGGTCACTCAGGGCCTCCGCATCTAGCATTTTGATATCCGGAAGTCCGGGAATCATGGCGATTGTGTTGTCCGTGGACGGTTCGTGGCAAGCTTCTGGTGCGGTGTTGCTGCTGCTACTGCTGATATGTTCCTCGATGACCCAGTCTTTCGGCGGGGACCAAGAACAGTCCTCCGGGAAGAAGAAGCAGTTGTCCCAGTAGTCGCGGTCGTTGTGGTCGTATTCTATCGGGTCCTCCGAGTATCCAAGGAGATCCTGAGCGTATTGAACTGGGCTTCGTTCCCAGTATGGACGGTACGGGGGCTCGGGGAGAGCGCTGGGTTTCTGACTAGGATAGTCCGGTCGGACTGGTTGCTTGAATTCAGCCATAATTTCTCTAGAGCAGTGATGGAACGGGATTGCTATTGGGGATGGATGTAACAGAAGGAGACGAAGTTGCTGTGCAAACCAAGTGCGCTATGGTTGTGGAGAGATAGATTCGATGTTTTGGGGGACAAGGCCCTGGGGGGTGGTACAAGTGATATGCGAGGGATACAAGATGCTCTGGTTCGCTCAAGGCTGACACTAGGCAAACAGCTCGTAGGCCCAGACTTTCTTTGCGTATAGAACATCATGGTAGTCATAAGCAGCCGGTCGGTGCGCAATGACGTTCCAGAACCCGGGGAAGTGAGCCGCGGGGGGGCGCATGTCTCAGGGAGGAATGATGGGCCCGGGTGCATGGCCAGCATAACAGGCAAACGCGAGAACACGAAGCAGCATCGCAGTAGGCAAGGCAAAGACAAGCGAGAAGGAAGAAAAGAAAAAGGAAGAAAGTTTAGAGGCGTGGCTGTTCAGGTGGCCAACAAGCATGAGAAGCAACGTCTGCCGCGTATGCGACGATCATCTGGCAAAGGATGATCCTAGAGAGACGGGAAAAAGGGAATTGAAGAGCAGAGCAGAGCCACAAACCTTATTGTGATGTATCTGATGAGTTCGTGCCAAGATAGGCAGAGGAATGCAAAGAGTGGTGCGCCGCAATGGCTTGAGATTAAGTTGAAGGAGAGATGTTGAGGAGGAGGAGGAGAAGGAGGAGGAGATGGTGGAGAAGGTCGAAGCCGACAGACCGACAGACCGACCGACTAGAGAAGACGCTCAGCTACGGTCATTTGGCCGGCAGAATCCTCCGTGACGTGGGGGGGGGGGGGGGGTGCCTTTCCGCCTTCGGTCACCGCCTTGTCAGTTATCAAGAGAAGCTTGAAGAATACTTCACAGCCATAGGACAGTATCATGATCGCATTAGTCAAATGGGATCAATTGATGCAGTAAGCGTTGAATTTGACAAGAATGACAATATCTTAGCATTTTCTTCTCTTTGACCCGCTTCTCATTTGGAGATCTACGACCAACATCATTCAGAGTATCTAAGAATCACCTAACTACGGAGTACTTCGTAATTTGTTGACATTCTACACCCCCCAACTTTCACCAAGTTCCATACTACTGGCTAAAACAGCTCTTCTGAATCTGAAGATATCTACTCAGAGCTTGATCAGACCATCTACTCATTTTCATGATTACTTATTGGATTCGCGATAGCTCCATAATTGGGTTCACTAATCATGGGAGTGGATTAATAAGATAGCGTCATACACCGTGGACCCCACCTTTTTTTTCGCGGGTTTCTCCTCATTACTTGGACGTTTATTTAATGGGTTCGTTAGTTCTTCTTGTCTACCCCTCTTCCTAAACTTCCTCCCCTCCATTCATGTTCTCCCTTCCATTCTTCCGCTCCTCTTTCTCCCGGGTCCTCATTCCTAAATTCCCCCTTGTGCCTGGTTAGTACGGATCTTCTCCATCCATCTCCGAAGCTTAAAGCTGGACTGTATCTGGACTGGCAATGAACCCCACTTCCCCCAAGCTAATCATGCTAACCGGTCCGGGATCATTGCAGGAACCAGTCGATCACTCGCAACCATGGCCACCGATACCTCCAAGTATAAGCTTCACCGTTAGTAATGGCCTGAGCGATCCGTCTCTCGCAGACACATTGAAACAACAGACTAACCGACGGCATGGCGGTTGGAAAAACCCATAGACACCATGATTCGGGTCAAGGACCCGAAGAAATCCCGTACGTGGAATCACCCTCCCTTCCTGGCAGCAAAGTGCATGGAGCAGGTCTTGACTAATGAGCTCCTCTGTTTTTTCCCCCCGACTAGTGGAATTCTATCAGTTCCTGGGTCTCAACCAGCTGCAACGGCTCGATTTCCCGGAGAACAAGTTCTCGCTGTACTTCCTGGGGTACAACGGGCCGCAGTCGCTGCAGGGCGGGGGCAGCCACTTCACCGACCGGAACGGGGTGCTGGAGCTGACGCACAACCACGGCACGGAGGAGGACCCCAACTACAGCGTGGCGAACGGCAACACGGAGCCGCACCGGGGTTTTGGCCATATCGCCATCTCCGTCGACAACATCGAGCAGGCCTGCCGGCGGCTGGAGGAGGCCGGCTACGAGTTCCAGAAGAAGCTGACCGAGGGCCGCATGCGCCACATCGCCTTCGTCAAGGACCCCGATGGGTACTGGGTCGAGATCATCCGCCGCCACGATGAGGACCGCGGCACCACCACCGACCCGGCCAGCTACCGCTTCAACCACACCATGCTCCGCGTCAAGGACGCCGAGGCCAGCCTCAAGTGGTACCAGGAGGTGCTGGGCCTGACCCTGCTGCGCACCAGCGAGAACGAGGCCGCCGGCTTCAACCTCTACTTCCTCGGCTACCCCGCCGCCAACCCGGAGCTCAAGAAGGACGCCAAGAACCCCGTCGCCGAGTGGGAGGGCCTCCTCGAGCTCACCTGGAACTACGGCACCGAGAAGCAGGAGGGCCAGGTCTACCACAACGGTAACACCGAGCCCCAGGGCTTCGGTCACATCTGTAAGGCAACCTCGTCCCTCAATTCTACCGGTGAATTTCTTGCTAATACTGGTTTGCTCCAAGGTGTCTCCGTTGATGATTTGAATGCCGCCTGTGACCGCTTCGAGAAGCTGAATGTCAACTGGAAGAAGCGTCTTACTGATGGTCGCATGCGGAATGTGGCTTTCGTCCTCGACCCGGATGGATACTGGGTTGAGGTGGTCCAGAACGAGGCACTCAAGCCTGCCGAAGTACCACTGGTGTAAATTAGCGTTGCCGCGCCACCCCGGCGTCGGATCAATGTGTGCATTGATTCCTTCTGACTCGAACTGTATTCTGCGAGGAAAGCGGCTATGACATGGGAATATCGTGATAATAATATCTCACCAATGAATAGGTGACATAATCAGTAGTGAACTTCCTTGGGTCCACAATTTCATGAGGCCCATCAATGACCCAAGATATCAGCGCCGTTCTGATTATCGGTGGGTAAGCATGAGATCAATCATAATTCAGCACTATCGATCTCCATCATCACGTCCCGCAGCCATTCCCTAGCAGATCTCTCCGCGGAGGTAGGCCAGGTCTCCGCCCCAACCGTCACAAGCGTAACTCTGCTCTCCCCGAACCCCTTCTCCCGACCCCAAAAACAAGCCCGCTGCATAACGTCCACCATATCGACCGCCTGTTGCGCCAGGACACGCTCCGAGTGGGTTTTGCGTCTAGCCGCAGTGGACTTTCGCTTCGCTAAGAGCTTCTGAACCGGGGCCGGGGCTCCTGGCTCCGTCTTCTCGAGGGCTTCACCGCGAGCAAATACCCTTACCCACGGTAGCGTCACTTCCAAGCGCTTGACTCCTCGGTTTGGGTGGTTCAACACCGCCGGACCGCTAATTCCGTAATCGAGTCCGTACGGCGGCCATCGCGAGACCGACTTTCTGCGACGGATGGCGGTCTGATTTGTTTCCTCGTCGTCCATATATTCTTCTTCAGCGATGGCAGCGGCAGCGGCAGCGGCGGCCTTCTCGCTGAGGTATGCCAGCATGGGCGACAGTGGGGGTGATGTGGCTGGACTCTCAGAGTGTGCTGATAATGGCGACATACTGCTGTCCGACAACGAGGGGTAATATTTGTAGATGCTTTCCTCAAAGATCTCCTGCGATGTCTTCGGCTGCAGAACGGGAATCGGGTACTCCGGTCCTGTCAGATACTCGGGGAATGTGCGGGGAACGTCTTTCCCCGCGGAACGGAGGAAGAGAATGGGAGAGGCGAAAGCATCGAAGTATCGTTCTGGGGCTGTAAAGTATGATCGTCGAGCTTTGAGAAGGGGGATCAAGTCGTGCGGGACGGTGGGTGGCGTACTCGTTTTGGTCGCTGCGGTTCGCTTCTTCTGAGTTATGGCGTCGGCTGCTGGGGCTGCCGTCGACATCGTTGCCGAACTCGACTCTGTGGCATCAGGCATAGTAAGTAGACAATGCTCGTCGAGGCCAGTCCAGTCGCAGACTGGTTCGAGTGCTGCGACAGCGTGGACGGCTTGTGCTTCTGTAAGGGAAAGCATTATGGCTAGCGAGCCGCCGATGTGCGTGCCGATGACCCCGAGGCGCTTCGGCCGCAGGTATTGGTGGATCCAATCGAAGCCTGCGAGGGTCTCATGTACTGGGGTTGGATATTGATGAATAACCTTTTCTGGCGATGCTGGTCCCGCGCTAGTTGTTGCATCTGCCACAGAATTTGATACGGGCCTTTGTGTTTCTTGAGATGGGAATGGAGAATAGCCCAGCCGATAATTAATGGTTACTATAGTCGAGAGAGTGCTAGACGCGAGATCTTGCGCCAGCGACAAGCCGGTAGCACTTGTCCCAGGGGAGAGTGCGCCATGGTCACGTTGCTTAGAAGTTTCAGATGTCTCGCGTTCAGCAATTCCAGGTTGCGTGAATAACGGTCCTGGAGGTAGATGGACGATCACATTCCCGTTCTGAAGCGGCAATTCATCTGGATGAGTTATTCTGTGTCGCAAGGTCAGCTTTCTGGGGATGTTTGTTTGTGACATGGTTGGTGTTGACCTTACTGTAATGTAATCTGCCCATTATTCCCAACCGGGATATCAACGGCATAGTTGCTATACGTCGATGACGCGAGTTGCGCGCTTCTGCAGAGCGAACGGGTAGATCGAGGCCGCCACGCAAAGACGGCGGTGTAGCTCCTCACTGAGGCAAGCCCTGGCAGCGAGAATAGCAGGTGGCGCATAGCACCCTATGAGTAAATCTTATCAGGCGCAAGATGAAGGATGGAGTTGAGGATTGAATCAAGCATTGTTGATGGGGATTCGTTCGGCAGCCACAGGGAAGACCCCAGACGCTAGCCATTTTGGGAAGTGATCCCAGGTCCGAGTTCATTTCCCAATTTGGAAGTCACCTTCATCCTAGGCTCCAGCTTAGCTCGCTCTATTCCCACCTGAGGTCAACAATTGCAGTCTCCATTCTGGATCTTCAGCGAGACCGACATCATGCATTCATACTAGAGCTCTATGCGACTGAGTTTCAATGGACTCGGAGCCAATTTGCTGATATACATCAGTAAGGCAGCTGGTATCCCTGACGATGACGCTATGAAGCAGCGAAGAATTGATTGGGAGGGTACTTATTATGAAACTGCGGCAAAGACAGAAATAGCCAGGCCTCCTTACATCGGCCTCAACTACTCCACCATGGTCTTTTCCGACCATGATAGGCAATCTTGCCAAATCCCGTTCCTGCTACTGCATGCACAGGTCGTCTGGTTCAGCCAATGATGTCAACGATATCCACCCCCGCCTGACTGATTGCCGGTGGCGTTATGAATGCCTGGACCGCGCGCCAACATGATTCCAACGTATTCCACCGTATATCGACTGAGGTGCAATTCTAAGGACCCCAAAAGACTGCAAGAAGACAGAGCCTGAAGAAAATCCCTCGGTGACGATACAAGTGTCGGGAATCCAATACCGGCGGCCGCAGTGACATGGCAGGCGTACAGCCCGAAGCCTCTGCGAAACCAAACCAGGATGACCTTGTACCTGGCGTTCCAGATGAAGATCTGTGGTTATTGATCCGACGCTTCAATAAGGTACGCTTACTCACATCCATGGATCGTGCAGTGCCCAACTCATGACTTCAAGCAAATATATAATGTGCAAGCCACGTCTGAACCTCGTGCGGGTGACCTCGACCTCAATCCCGTCCAAGATGAACAATTTCCGCCAGAGAAAGTGCGAATTACACTGGAGAGGCTCTATGTCTCTGTTATTGTAGGGGTGATCACGTTGTATACTCATGTCGTCAGGTTGCGGTCGTGGAATGAGCCCCGACGTACCTCAGCCTTTTGTGCAGTACGTTGTCGATGCTTGAATCAACGCCCTATAGACTACTGACAGATTCAAGACCTATTTCGTCGCATGGTTTCGGGGTATTCTCGTTCCCACCATTTCTCTCTTCCTTGCTGCTTTGATTCTGTTTCCGTCACTACGGCCCTTGTTGTTTCCTAGTCTTACTCCCGAAGACAACGGGCCCAAGACCCAGCCACAGCAGGCCACAGACCAACCCAGCAAGCACAAGGGCGAAGCTGCGGAGCAAGAAGCCAATAGTCTCATGAACAGCATTGCTAAAATTGCAGTGAAAGCGGCGACGAGCAGACATGGCCAGGAAAGTACTGGTGACAGTCTAGAAGAGACGCTTGCTTCAGACTCGACCACAGATGTCAATACCATCCCAGATGCTGCGGTGACAGGGGACGATACCAAAAGGTCCATGAGAAAGGCGGTCGCCAATGCCACCACCCAAGCGATGCGTGTAATCAGTGACGGCACCGACATTTACGAGATGTTCTCCAAGTACGAGGTCTGCACGCTGGCAATATGGGTACGTTCAAGCTAACCATCACGCAGCGTCCTTTCTCCGACGCCGCCCTTCACCTCTGTGACGGCGCAGATTCAGCTAGTTGGTGTTCTTCTCCTGATCTGTTTGCTCACCTCCATCGTATCAAATGACTTCATTGTCAGAGCCAACAGCTTCACCCTCGGCTTTATCTTCTTTGGCGGTCCCATGCACCAGTACTCTATGAACTACCTTAATGAGAAATTCCCCGACTGGAAGAAATCCCTGGATCCACGAGAGTGCGTACATTATGCCGTGGAAAACATTTAATATTTATGATCAGACGTGCTAACCCAGACACTCCATTCAGAACCATTCTGAAGAACATCCCCACCAACGCTCAACTAACACTTACCCTCCTCCGACTCTGCGAAACCAACAACACCCCGCTCCCCTCCCCACCATCCTCCCTACAACCCCACTCCAACAATCCCATACCATCATGGATAACCTACAAAGACAAGCTCAAGATCACAGCCACTGCTGCTGCAGCAGCTAGCTCAACCAGCCTCACCACAACCGCCACCGCTACCACCACCACATCCACATCTACCTCCGAGCCCTCCACCTCCAAGCGCAGGAGATTCCTCCCCCGCCTCCTCCGCATCCTCCGCACAACCATCACGCTCGCCACAAAGGGCCACTCCGCATTCAACCAAGCCATGGCAATCGCAGGCGCCACGCAGGGCACCAGACGCCTCCTCCTCACCATGCACCGCCGCAATTGGGAATGGGAGACCTCCGGCCCCGACACCTTTGACGCGAAATTCGAGCGTAAGCGCGGCACATTGGTCATCGACTCCTCCTCCTCCCCGTCCTCCTCATTCAACCCCCCAGAAAACGAGCCTTCAACCGCTCAGCTAGAAGAAGAAGAAGAAAAAGGTGAGAACTTAAATCCATCTCCGATCCTCTACTTCAGCACCCTCCACTCCGCCACCCTCGAGGACCGCCGACTCGAGCACCAGAAGAAAGGAACGGTCTTGTTCCAGATACCCATCTCTCAAATCCGAGGCCTCCGGAAGACGGAAGGGCTGGGTTGGAAGGGGAAATTGATCGTGGAGTTGGCGGCGGGGAGCAAAGAGTCGGTAGATGGGTTGGTGATCTGCGGGGCCGAGGAGGGTCAGACGTATCATGTCACTGGGATGAAGGCGAGGGATCAGTTGTTCAATCGGTTGGTGGCTATGGGGGGCCAGGCGTGGGAGAGGGTGTGAGCTCTTGGGTATGGTCTCTTTCGTCTGAGGGGGCATTTGGATATGATCATCTTTCATTGTCATTTTGCTGTTTATATGTTCTCATAGGAACTTACATGTGTGAAAACTTTTGCCAGACGTTCATGCATGCATTATATGGACCTTCTTGGTTTGTCGCTGGGAAATGAGCATCGTCTTGGCTGCAATGTCTGGGTCGGTGATCTTGGATAATTGATATGAGAACTACATATCTAGAACAATTGAGAAAAGCAACTATCTCAATAAGCTGTGTAAAAAGTATCTATTCTTCTCAAGGAACTTTAGAAATTCGATAATAAAATCCAGGCCTCCCTTACTTTGTACTGAGCAAACGACCCAACGCCCACCTTACAATGCCTTAAATACCAGACAGAATCCGAGGCTGTTTCTCCGAAGTCGCACTCACGGCCGGATCATCCATATCCAGACAAGCCTCCGGTTCATCCTCGGGGACAGGACGGAGAACCTCCAGCGACAGCTCCGAGTCCTTCGAGTAGACCCGCAAACCCACGACGCAGACGGCATTCCACGGATCCCCGTTCGCATCCACCTCGCTACTGCACGACAAAGTATGGGCCGGGGTCCTTGGCTCCGCGGCCGGCTCCTCCGGGGGCATATCGAGATCGGAATCGAACTCGAACCCCTCGAGGTACTTCAGATCGGGGTTGGGGGTGTGGACCGGAGCGCGCTTGTCGCGGATCGAGAGGGAGACTCGGCCCCTCGGGTGATCGTGGCCGTTGACAACATGAGAGCTGCTGACCTGGATCGTAGGGATCGAGCTGTTCTCTGTTGGGTTTGCCCTTGCTTTTGCTTGTGAGACATGGTCATGATCATGACCGGTACCAGCGTCGTCGGTGTGTCCCGCGGCGTCGGCACCCTTGCGGCAGGAGGCCCCCCGCGCAGCCTCCTCGGCGAGCCGCTCCTCGCGTCGGTGCCGTCGTGCGTCGCGCTTGCGGTCGCGGATCCACTGCTTCTGCAGTCGCGTCTTGGTCTCCTCGCGGAGCTTCCGTCGTTCGGCGGCCCGCTGTCGCTCTTCGCGCTCCTCGCGGGCTCGTTTCTCGGTCTCGGTCTCGGGCACGATGCCCTTCGCGTGGGCCAGGTCGTACGAGAGGCCGATCTGGACCAGCTTCTCCCGGCGGGTGGGCGCAAGGCTGCGCACCACGTCCTCGGTGGGCATCTTCTCGTTGTCGCGGTAGGCCGTGACTTTCATGAGGACATGGTAGCGGCCGGGCTCGAGGTCGACTTCGACGTTCACGCCGCGGTACATGAGATCGCTGCTGTGGCTGCGCACAAAATAGTCGTCCTCGCCTTCCCTTTGCAGCCGGAACTTGAGGACGAAGTCGTATTCACCGGCTAGTCCTTTGTAGTACCGGTCGTCGAGCTAGGAGTATAAGTCAGTGACCCATCACGTTGTGAAGAAGAGCACAGAACTAGTCGTGTCATACCTGCGAGAGAACGATAACTACAGGCCCGCCTTTGCTCACGTTGATGATGAACTTGGTGTTGTGATAGTCGGCGGACCAGGGGACATTTAGTGTAGTCCATTGTTGGGTAACTGTCCAGTTATCGTTAAAGAGGCGAGTTCGGTCGAAGTGCTGGTACTTCTTGAGAAGGTCGTCATATGAGATCCAGAAGAACTGCAGTTTCATTAGCATGCTACGCTGTCTGAGTACTGGAATTGCGTTCGAGAAGCCTACCCCATCGTTGCCAAACTTATGCCCTAACTTCGCCATCCACTCGGGTGTCCATTGTTCAGAGCCGTCGCTCCAAGCGCCATTCCATTCCTTTTTGCCCCATGGGTTTCTAGGTTTGAATTAGCATTCTCGCTTGCAAATAAGGCATTCGTAGCTCCTACCTTAGTCGCAGCAAGCGTTGTCCGTCGATTTCCCGCGCCTCCATGATGGAATAGGAGTGATTCTCCGAAATCCCCTTCCTGTCTCTGGGAGGCCCTCGGTAGCCCGGGTCCAGCCAGTTAGAGAACAGACCGCAGCCACAGCCGAAGAGGAACTCCTTGTTGACCTTCATGAGCTCCTCATTCCAGAACCGGTCTTTGTCTAAGATGTTACTCGAGAGTAAATCTGAAGTGACCCCGCCAGTCAGGTCCTCAAGGGCCTCGCTGTGATGCGGATGACATTAGTAATTGCACGCCAGGCAGGATATATATGTGTCTTACCCTACAAATCCACCCTCAATTGCAGAGTAGTCACCATGGGCCTTGGCGTAGGCTTTCTCGAGCAAGGGTAGCCATGTCTCGTTCTCATCCACGCACTGAGCAAAGTACAAAGCTCGAGAGCCCGTCTGCCAGGCTTTGCGGTATTCTTCTTCGGTGTCTTTCCTGTTGATGTCGTCCCAAATTGGCCGCTCATCCACGGATTCGTCATAATCGGCTGCCCGCAGATACAGCTTATCGTCCACAATACATTGCTGCCAGTCTCCATCTACAAGATGTCAGTATTTCGTCAGATCTGTCGAGCCGGATCGCCTCACCTCTGTAGAACACAAATCCGTATACGCCAACCTTCTCATTTCGAGCAACACAAACATCTTCGATCAGTCCAGGCTTGTTGCCCATCGTACACAAGGCAGCCATCAGCCAACAGTCACCGTCGCGACCCTGGCGTACATCAGAGGCAGTAGGTCCGTTGACGTAGAACTGCGGTTTCTCAAAGATTTCCTAATCATGGGAATGCTGATGAGTATGGCTCGACTGACCACTCCACGTTTGCCCGCTTCAGTATCTTATACTCACCGTTACCCTCTTCACGCCTCTTGGCCGCAACTCCAAGTTTTGGTCCATCAGTCCATCAAGATAGTTCCTCCTTCCGCGCTTGAGATCTGCGGCGATATCGAAGTGCGGATCGGAGTACTTCTGATTCAGCCGCTCGCATTCCCTAGCGATGCGCTTAACTGAACGTTGACACTCCTTCCGTGCTTGTTCGTAGGACTTTCCGGCCACCTGCGCTTGGATCACCCCCTTGGGTGTCCGCGCAGCCTTCGTGCGCGCATACGGATTGTCCGGCAATACGGTGTTGACCAGCCCCGGAAATTTGGAGTTGAAGTCGCTCCAGAATTGCTTGACAGTTTCCTGGGGCGGTTGGTTGGTCTTCGTTCGCATCCTGCTCCCGGAGCGTGACGAGAGCGGGGGAGTATATGCCATGTCGGTATGGTCTTCACAATCCATGGGCGCAGTAGATCATCAACAAATCTGTTTTACAAGAGCAAGAACGGGTCCAATGCATGGATCACTCAAGGGGGTGTTTGGGGGTGAAACAGTTCCCCAGAACCGGTGGCCGCCCGAACTCTTATAAACAAACCCCATATGGGCCCAAGCCCGCTGGTCGCTGTGGCCCATATCAACTTGAATCCACGAGGTTCTCCACACAGCCTCAGGCCGGAAATGCGTAAGGCAGGCCAAGCATGATTGGAACTTTCTCTTGCATGACAGGGGAAGAGAGCCGGTCGAATGGTTCGAGGCCAGGTCCGAGCGCTTGCTTACCAGGCGCTCGTATTGCTGAACCACGCGCACCCGGCCTTCTAAAATTAATGGCCACTGATAAGGCCGAAGGTGAGCTCAATAGCAGAGCCGCCGATCGTTTCACCTTGGTTTTTTCGGCCCCCAGTAAGCACGGCAGAAAGTAAAACGACGCAACTTGCATCTTGACGGGCCAATGTAAAACGTGGGACATTAAGCATAAGATGCTGACGGAACGGGGAAAATGAAAGATTTTCAGCTCGTGATGGCCCGATGTCCGGGTTGTGGTGGTTCTGGTGGTTAAGGACAGAAACGGTCATTAGTCCGGGTAGCGTGCATGAATGTGTGGGCTTGGTGCATCTCGCTTGCAAGCGCTGATCCTTTCGGAGCTGCCGGATGGAGCCATGGACAAGGACGAAATAATGCAAGATGTGTTCATCGTAAGCTGGAATCTTGAACGCAAGAGAAATGAAAGGATTCCGATTGGGTCGATGGCGAAGAGGGGTTGACATTCTGGCTGAGCCTCCTCAGTAACCGGGCTGATACGAGGAAGCAATATACGGAGTCCTGTACACCTGCACCCTCAGCCTTCTGCGGCTGAATCTCACGGCTCTTTTCATTTCGGCTGAGTTTTTGACCGCCCCTTTCCATGATTTCACGTCATTAGAAGAAGTACCTTGGAGGAATACGTTTCGGTGTAGCAAGCAAGCCACGATCTGTAAATTTGTAAATTAGCTGCAAGTGCAAGCATCCTCTTTGCACCCATGCAGCAGATCAAAGCCACATGTTTATCACCTCGGATAGCACCGCAGAGTGTGTGACACAGTAAGGGCTCAGACTGAGATCTTTAGATACCACCGAGATGGGCGGTGAGTGCGCAGCCTGGCCAGCAAGGCCGCAGGGCCGCCGTTATTTGTCTACTTAGCTGACATTGCTGCTAAAGAATCGAGTACCAGCCAGTTTATACTCTTCTTGTCCTCTTCCTCCTTACTTAACTAAGAATCATTAGTATATTGCACTAATTGTCAGTCACTTACCATTAGTCTGTTCCCGTGAAGCTAATAACATAACATATTCTGTTGATATCCCTCCACAACTGAAACCCCTTCTGGAACAATCCTAGGTCAACTTCTGCGAGTCCTGCATCTCCAAGCTTGGGTGAGCTAGGCCCGACGGCGGTTCAGGCTTCTTATATAAGGCTCGGTCCGTTCCCATACAGGTCGATTGCTGGTTGTTGAGAAAGGATTGAAGATTAATTTAAGATATTGATGAGCTGGGCCATGCTGGGATTGGACTCGATATGTAGACAGTCTGGGGGTTTCGGAACAGCCTCTGCCGGCGTAATTTCTGGCTCCTGGGCTCTGAAAGTCGTGCCCCGCGCTCTAGTTGAACAGGGACAGAGCTGCGTATAATGCCGAGAATGAGTTAGGCTTAGAGAACGGTTGATAATCTCTGTCTGGGATATTGCTGTCTGATGTGCTTTTGCACTGGGCCGTTCGCTACCGGATAGAATGGTCTTAGCCGGACTATCTATTAACACAGCATCTAGAGAATACTCACCGGATACAGCAAAGCATAAGGGATATTCATTCCACATTGTAAAGAGGATCTGTGCCAGCCACCCGTTGGCGCTAGTAATGGGAACGGTCCAGGAGTCCTTGATCGGCTCCGATCACGATAAGTTGACTAGATAGGTATAAAGCTTGTCTGAAGAGGAATTGTAGTTGAAAGACTTGTGGAGGTTCTCGAGGAAGCGCGTATATGCAACCTGAAAATCACAGCGTGGATCCTCAAAAGTACAGCGACAGTGGCCGGATAATCTAGGAGATAGTATTTTCACGCCGTAGAAGCACCTCAAGCCCATTAAAGCTGATGATCATTCGGGGATTCCCGTATCTCTGGAGTCTAGTCTATAATAGTGGTTTTTAATCGGCTCACACAGCGCAGCTATATCGGCCAGTCCAGCCAGCTGGACCAGCCCTACTCTGATATTAATACCGCGACGTCGGCAATTATTATAATGGTCGGCCTTGACCTTTTGAGTAAAAAGGGCTGGGCAGCAGCATCCCGAGCAAATCCGGGCAGTTCGTTAATCCGGCATAGAATCTCGCGGCGAAGTCCACTCTGATCGATCTTCCGGATCAGTTTTCTAAAGAGTAGTTAACTCTTGGCTAAAATAGAAAGCAGCTTCCTATTTAGTTTAACCCAGGCAACTGTAGTGCCCCCTGGCAGGGCTTTGATATAGCCGGCCTGGGTAACCCTCTTCCCCATTATATATCAGAGATGCGGCAACAAATCACCGGGGCGACCGGCTGTAGTACTTGGGCCTAGTGCGGCAGATGCTTCTCTGTCGGTCTAGTAAGCAAGTCAGCTGATGGGGCGGAGGGGAGGAGGGAGAGGGGGGTGAATACAGACTATAGACTGGCGCTGCGGTGCTTTGCAGCTTGGAAATAGAAAAGATTAGTTAGTAGTTGTAAGACTGTAGTGATAGAACAACAGTACCAAGTAGTTATAGGATGGTCGGTGGGTCAAGTTGTCATGGGGCACCTGCATTGTCTTAGCGCGGTTAGAGTCAGCTGACTAGCTGACTGAGCGGAGTTAATCAGAGCTTTGATTTTCTCGGAGAATGTGGTTTGTACAGTTTGCACCAAGGTTTGCCGTGCCGCTTCCAACCTGCATAGAATACCCCACCTGGAGATGAGAGTGTCATCAAGATGTTTGTTGTTCGTGGTAGAGTGGTAGAATGGTGGGGTAGAGAGACGACAGGGAGGGAGGAAAGGCAATCGAGGAAGAGAAGGGAGAGACCACCCCGTGCCATCATCGGCTGGGGTAGTTGAGCACAACCTCCGCCCTCTCTCTGAACCACTGAGTACTCAAACACATCTTGATAATCGATGAAACAAGGAACAACTTCATTCATTCATTGTCACTGCTGCTATAGAATGACCTCCTTTCTTTTTCTCCATTTACTCAATTATGGGTATGTACGCGTTAGTCAAAAATACTCCTTGCGATATCCAGTAACCTATTCTCGTTCCTGCCAGATCACTCCACAAACAACGCCATTTGTAACAGAAGCAGAGAACGATGATGAGAAATGTTAGGAAAGAGCGGACTGTAGCAGCGACGCGGATAGGACTCAGCCTTGAGGGGGATAGATGCAGAAACCGCGGTGCTGTCCATGCCACTGTGCGTCATGGCACCTGCCACCGTCGTCCGCTTTACATACATGCCTTTAAACATGGTCGTGGTAACGTGCGGGCACGGTTGATTTAGTGGAACCCGTTTCTTGTCGTTGTCCGGGTGCGACCGGAGTAATATGAGCTGCCATTGGCGAAGTAGGGGTGCATGCAAGCCTGCTTGGCGGAGATACGCCGGGCAGGATCGTACTCGAGGAAGGCATCGAGAAGGTCCAGGCCATCCTCCTCGAGTCCAGGGACCAGAGCACGGCTCTCGTCACGCTTCCATTTGGGGAACGTGGCTTTGAAGTCGGGGAACGAGGTGACTCCGGGCCAAGCGGCCTCGTCAGGAGTACCGAGAAGACTGTTGCAAAGGAGATGGTAAGCAACTGAGCTACGTCATTAGGTCCTGTTTTTGAGAGGGGTAGACATACCGGAAAATCTTGAAGATCTCGTCGATCTCCGAGTCACCAGGGAACAACGGCTTACGAGTGCACATCTCCGCAAAGATGGCACCACAGGACCACATATCAACACCAGTGGAGTATTGGCGTCCACCCAGAAGGATCTCAGGGGAGCGGTACCACAGAGTCACAACCTGATCAAGAGAAAGGTCAAGGTTAGAAAGTCGAAGCATGGCATATCCGGAGGATCATGAAATACCTCATGTGTGTAGGTTCTGAGAGGAACACCAAACGCCCGAGCCAGACCGAAATCAGCCAGCTTGAGGTTTCCGTCGCGGTCAATCAACAGGTTCTGAGGCTTGAGGTCACGGTGCAGGATGCGGTGGCTGTGGCAGTAGCGAATGCCTTCCACTAGCTGAGCCATGAACTTCTTGACCATGGCATCGCCCAGTCCCATGTTCTTGCTCAGCGCAGAACCTTCCGGCAGGGCCTTCCCACGTCCACCCTCGCTCACAGGAAGAGCCTCCATGTATTTCTTCAGGTCAAGGTCGAGGAACTCGAAGACGAGGTAGAGCTTGTGGCCGTCGGCGTGCACGATGTTCAGCAGTCGGACAATGTTGGGGTCATTCATCTCCTTCAGCAGGGAGATCTCCCGGATAGCAGTGCTGGGAACACCTTCATCCTCGGCCTCTAATCGGATCTTCTTCAGGGCGACGATTCGGTTGGGATGAGTGAGCTCACGGGCTTTGTAAACGACACCGTATGTTCCTGCATTGCACAATCAGAAATGTTAGACATTTTTCTAGTGGGGGGTGCTCTTGCACCAAAGTAGGAAGTTCAGGTTGCAGATGTAAGATTGAGGATATCTTAGGGGAGCCACATACCCTCTCCAATTTTCTCGATCTTCTGATAGTTCTCCATTGTTGGCAGTAAATTGACCCGTTGAGGAAAACTGGTTTCCCACACACAGTGATTCTATAACGATATTTTCGAAACCCAAGAGATGAGACACCGTCAAGCTGTGGTCAAGCCCACCGACACGCGGGGTACAGGAAACAAGAGTGTGTGTGTGCACTGCACTGCACTGCACGGCGACGGCGTTCCTGTTGCCGGGGAAGGGAAGAAAGAGAAAACAATGGTTGGCGTCAAGCAACGGCGAGGAGGGAGGGAGAAGGGCCTCTCGAGGTGCACGGGCTGAAAGGGAATAGGCAGAAAGGAGCCAATCTGGGAGTCGAGGGGAAAATTGGTTTGGCCTGGAACTTCAATCGAATGTCGATTTACTTACCTACTTACCCTGGAACTTACCTTTACCTGTTGGAGTAGCGAGGAACTGAATCGACTGAACTGTCGTCTTTTCATTCATCCCTGCTGGTGGGGAGCCAAAGGCGGTCAGTAGCCGCCGTACACAAACAAACCCAAAAATCCGCGCGTGGCCCAGAAGGCGGTGAGCGCGTCCCCAGTTGATTCCCGCCCTGAACTTTTTTTTGGAGGAGACGGTTTGAATCTTTGCCTAGTATGCTCTTTGTTACTCTTTTTCGTCGATTATATTCGAATCTTTCTTTGCGGAAACAACAGACTTGTCCTCTACGCGACATTGGTTCGCTATTTTCGGCACTTATGACTGGACGAACTATCAATTTGCATTTCCGAGGAGCGACCTGAACTGTCATAGCAGCACCCATGCAATAGTGCGGCCTTGCAGATCCTCAAGAAACTAACTTTGTGACGCAGTCCAGTTATAAGTCAAAAGAGATCTAATTCGACTACACGCGAGGAAGGGAACAAAAATACAGGGACGAACGAGAAAACAAAGTCAGGAAAAAAAAGACATGGCACAAATAAAGGACCTGAACGCTCACGAACGACCTCCGGAGGCTGTCAAGCAACGCTACAAGCAATACCAAAAGTCCACGCTCACAGATATAAACTTGGATGGTAGCATTCTGGATCTTCAGGCGCTAGATGCTGACCGGCTGCCGGAGGATGTTTCAGTCACGCATTGGATCTCCGGCAAGGATCTTCGGCCTGTATTCGATGAATTTCTGGGGACAAGCAAGGATGGTGCGGAGGGATCCCTGAATGCGAAAGATATCCCTGTCTTCTCTCATCGCTCTGTGACCGGTCAGCATTATACACCACCATCTAGCGCTTGTTTTCTGTTCCTCTCCCTTTCTTTCTTTCCTTCCTCGGTCTACCCAGTAGGACAGGAAAGGGGAGGGAGAAAGAAGACTTCCCCCAAAAGCATACATTGTAGAAACGAAGAAAAGAACAATCCTGGTCTCCTAACAGGCACATGTAGGTCTCCAAATGATCCCCTCCCTCCTCCCACCAGCCGTACAAATAGAACTCCTCTCGCGGCTCTTCCACCGAGACCTATCCAACCCAAGACACAAGACCAACCTCCACCTGCACTACGAGCTCACGTACCCCAGCGCTGGGGATGCAGCAGCAGCAGCAGCAACAACAACAACAACAACAACTACCTCGATGACCGATTCCAGCGTAGTAGACCCCGGGCCCCCTCCCCCACCCTCCTTCTTTGCCGACGACCCAGCGCGAGCCATCCACCCGAAAGACCCCAGCGTGCACAAGCCACTCACCGTGCAGAACATCCTCAACAAGAAACTGCGATGGGTGACGCTGGGCGGCCAGTACGACTGGACCGCCAAGGTGTATCCGGCCGAGCGGCCGCCGGCGTTCCCGCCGGACATCGCGAAGCTGCTGCACACCATGTTCCCGGCGACGGAGGCGCAGGCGGCGATCCTGAACGTGTATTCGCCCGGCGATACGCTCAGCGCCCACCGCGACGTCAGCGAGGAGTGCGATGCCGGCCTGATCAGTATCAGTTTCGGCTGCGACGGCTTGTTCCTGATCGGCCATGATGATGGCGCCGGCTGCGAGATCGTCCGGCTGCGCTCCGGTGATGCGGTGTACATGGACGGCACGTCCAGGTTCGCCTGGCATGCCGTGCCCAAGATCGTGCCGGGGACGTGTCCCGCCTGGCTCGCGGAGTGGCCTGGCGCGCCGGATGGTTCGGATGCCACCACTCAGTATGAGAAGTGGAAGGGGTGGATGGAGGGCAAACGAGTCAATCTGAATGTTCGGCAGATGAGCCTCTCGGAGCCTCGTCCGTGATGGCGGCGATGAGATGCGAGGAATTCTGCTCGGTTCATGACACATGGCGTATGTTGCATGTACTGGTTCGCAGCTTATGCAGTTGTGGCGGCTGGTGAGCCCAGCCCAGGTTGACAAGTGTGCACGTCACACAAAACCCTACCGTGGGCTTGCATACCTCTGCCTCGAAGAGTGCTCATAGGAGGGTTCGACCGAATGCATTCCCAATGCATTGGAAACACTCCCATCGTTCCGTCTCCGGAGGGGCGGCCCATTCGCATTCGCTCTTCCCCTTGTCCAAGCAACCTACCAATAAAGCAGACAATTAACCACAGGCGGAAGACCCCAGCGACAGTATCTGCAGATACTTCAACAATGTACAGCCGATTGAAGCCTGTCGGGCGATCATCGCTTGCAGCTTATACATACTCAGACAGCACATAACATTTCCCCATTTCTGTACATAGAAGCTTAAGTCTTTAATCCAAACAATCTAACTTAATTAGTAGCAACGAGACTAAAAGTAACATAAGTAGATACAAGAATTTTTTCGCAATCGGTTTCGGCGCCTACCACCCCTCCAAGGGTGTCAATCTGACCCGCACCCCGTCCCGCGGACTTACAGTCGCACCCTCGCGGAGCTCGAGCTCAGCGTCCGGATTCTCCAACTCAAACTTGAAACGACCGACGAAGGCGGCAAGCATACATGCCAACTCGGATTTCGCGAAGCCCTGCCCAATGCAACTCCGGGGCCCGTGCAGGAACGTCAAGAAGGCGTAGTTACTGGTGGCCCCGCCGGTATTGGCCATCCCGGGTCCCAGCCAGCGCTCGGGGTCAAATTTATCGGCGTCCGAGCCCCACAGCTCCTTGAGGTGGTTGATTATCGCGGGGAACAGGAAAATGAGCGTGCCTTTGGGAATGGACTGGCCGACGAGAGAGGTGTCACGGTTTGCCACGCGGATGGTCACCGGGGCGGAGGGATGGAAGCGGAACACCTCGTTGCAGACGGCGTGCAGGTAGGGCAGATTGTCGAGGACCTCGGCTGAGACAGACTCTGGATTCTCGACGGAGATGGAGGGTAAGTTGGCGCGGATCTCTTCTCGGAGGCGGGTTTGCACGTCCGGGTACTTGCACAGTGCGTAGACGCACCACTGGAGGGCGGTCGAGGTGGTTTCGTGGCCGGCCGCGAGGAAGGTCATCATTTGGTCGACCAGCTCCTCATCTGTAAAGCTGCCGCTCTCGAGTGCTACGGACATGATATCGACCCCGTCCTTCGCGTTGCTGGCTTGCTCGTGGTCCCGCAGGTCCTTCGCCTCACGGAGCATCTGCAGTGCGACAGCGCGGATATACTCAGCCCCCTCGCGGATATACTTGTTCCTCTTCAAGGGCAGTTTGTGGACCCATGTTGGTACTCCCATCACGAGGCCCAGAAGGAAAAGACCCAGCTCCAGTTTGGACGGCGGCGCACCGTTGATCCTACCATACTGTCTGGCCAGCTCATTGGTGGGATCGCGCAGGGAGTTGAAGTCGCGGTTCATTCCGGCAAGACCGATGATGTCGAGTGTGGCTCGACTTGACCAGGTTGCCACGCGAATAACGTTGTCGGAAGAATCATTCTCACGCGCTCGTAGATCATCTTCGATGCATTGCACCATCTCTATGCTTTTCGACCAGAAGATCGGATACAGGTTCTTAATATGACGGTAGGAAAAAGCCGGCATCAGATTCTTTCTTTGGTGCTGTTTTCAGTCAGCTGGGAAAGGACATGTGATTTCTGCCCTTGTTGTGACACTTGCCTTGTGCTCGGCACCTTCTACCAACAGCACCCCCTTTTGGCCGGTGAGGCGTCCCAGAGACTCCCGTACCAAGGCTGGTTTCTCGAAGTCATAGACCTTGGTCACCAAAATCTCACTCAGTCCCTTGGGGCTGGTCACGATCAACCGCTCCAAGTTGCCAGTCATATAGTAGCGGATCAGACCATCATTTGGGATCTCTTCTACCCATTTAGCCAGTCGCTTCCAGTCATGCCTCAGAATCAGAGTGCTAGAATTGCCACGAAGCCATGATCGGCCCTAGTGGAATATGTGAGACCGTGTTCCATTTGATGAGAGTGTACACACGGAAATGCTGAGACACTCACGGACGGGCTCGGAATCTGCTTCAGAGGTGTCAAAAACTCCGGATAGAGAAATACTCGGTACACAATTCTGCTAATTGTGGCCAAGGCAGACAGGTAGAAAAATGTTTGCCACGTCGCTTTCAAGTAGGCATATGCAGCAAAGGCGATGTAGACCGGTGTCCATGGTATGCCAGCCATTCTGCCAAGAATGTTGGAGGAATGGCTTTGTCCAGTTGCTGAAGAAGGTGACTTAACTAGGAGAATTAGGAGACTATTAGTTATATGGAACGTTGTGAAAGGCCAACTAGTGGTAGCGTTGCGCTGTTTGACGAGTGTCAGATATAAGTATCATGATGATCAGTGAGAAGGGCTAATTATAATATGGCATCGATGGAGAGACACCCGGTGGGAATGACATCCTTTCAGAAATGATTGGGCGAAATAAGAGCCGAGTCATGCACGGGTATGAAAAGGAAGCCTGATCGATGACCCGCGGTTTCAAGGGGCAGTTGTAGACTCCGGGGCCGACTCCCAACTCCCAAGTCTACCTAGAGTGGATCACCAGGATTTCAGGCTGTGACCTCATCGGGATTCGGCGATAAAATGCCAGGTGATAATCGGATTGAGAAACGTTGGGCGTATCATTGGTCAACCACCACGTGGGGATGGAGATCTCGTCGGACCTCGCAGGAGCCCGCACAGCTTACTGAAATAGGAAGGCTCTATTAGTCCCCGCCCGGCCCGGCCATGGTCAGGTCACGGGTTGGGTTGGGGGCCGACTCTGCCTAGTATTGAATGTCAGTCAATAAGTAGTAACTCCTTACCACCATTGCAGTAACTTACACTTCATTCTGTGGTCTCAACGTAGTCAGCTCTTCCTCTTCCCATTTCCTCCCTGCTCATCAGTCGAACGAACATGAGTGACTTCACTCATCCTCCCACATTTCTTATTGTGTGAATTGCTCCCTCCGATCCCGACCGATCGCCTCAGTCATGACTCTGCCTATCAACTGTTCTGACATATCGGGTTAGTGGGCAGTGTGTTCGACACCATCAAGCACGAGATGCGTTATGAGGATGATTCAATACAGCATATACGAGAGTCTTCAGGTTCCATCACTCAAGTCAGATGGGCGCCATGTGTCCAACCAACAATCCAGCAATCTGTGTGCATCCTCCAGTTCCAGTCTCGCGGGTCCCTGGGCTAGATTGGGTCCAAAGACAATTGTCTAGCAACTCCGTGCTAGGGTGGACTATATGAAGCAAATTCGTAGGGTTGGGATGGAAGCTTGCGGAGGGCGACAGAATGAATTACGAAGCCATATCCTTGTTCGAGCTGGCGCCCCGGAAATCTGTTCTGCTTCCTTCGTTCTCCGCCAAATCACAGCTGTCGGATTCATCGATACGCAATCCAGCCCAGAGCACAATTCTTGCTACAGCATTTAACAGGTTTGAACTGCATGATAGCTTAAGCAATGATCCGACAAGAGTGACACAATGGATTATCAATCAGGCCATACTCCACCAACCAGCCGAGGTTGGCCAATTGTCCCGCTATCGTCACTGATCTACCCCTCCCGCTCCAGTCTTGATTCATAAGTCGAGAATCGCCCTCTCCTCCCCACTACTCTCAACACCCAAACCTGACACCTCTCAAAATATTGCTACCACAATGCCTCAACCGAATAAAGCCATCATTTTCAGCAAAATCCCCAATGGGGCGCCTGTCCCGGGTACTGATCTCACCGTGGAACAACGGGAGATTGACCTCGACCAGCAGCTGCCTCCGGACAGCGTCCTCACCAAGAACCTTTACGCCAGTCTGGATCCCTACATGCGCGGTCGGATGCGTGACCCCAGCATCAAGAGCTACAGCCCGCCTTACCAGGTTGGCGAGCCGATCACCGCCTACAGCATCGGACAAGTGATCCGATCGGAGAACCCCAAATACAAAAAGGGTGATATTATCTGGTGTATCCTCAAGATCGAGGAGTACAGTGTTGTCACCAAGGAGCAGCTGGCATGGCCCCAGACCGAGAAGATCGATGTGAAGCCTGGACTGTCGCTGTCGCATTACGCCGGAATCCTTGGAATGACGGGCCTGACGGCTTATTCCAGTCTATATGAGATCGGGCAGCCCAAGAAGGGCGAGACCATCTTCATCTCCTCTGCTGCCGGTGCGGTGGGACAGGTGGTCGGCCAGCTGGCGAAACATGAGGGATTGAAGGTGATTGGCAGCGTTGGTGATGATGATAAGCTGCGGTATATCACTGAGGAGCTGGGCTTCGACGCGGGGTTCAATTATAAGAAAGAGAAGCCCAGCGACGCCCTGGCGCGACTAGAACCGAACGGAATTGACATTTACTACGAGAATGTTGGTGGCGAGCATCTGGAAGCGGCCCTCACTGCCATGAACACCTTCGGCAGGATTAGTATGGCCCCCTCCTACCTTCTAGGTCCCTTCGCTGACACGTCATTCAGTCGCTTGCGGCATGGTATCGCAGTACAACTTGAAACCAAACGAGCTATATGGAGTCAAGACCCTGATGAACGTGGTCGGAAAGAGAATCAGGATGCAGGGATTCATCGTCGGAGACGAGAATATGGGCCCGAAGTATGCGAAGGAGAGAAACGAGCGGGTGTCTGCGGTAAGTGACTTGACTGGCTCAGGAGGACCCATTCTGACCCCAGCTATGCTACAGTGGCTACTCGACGGCAGTATCAAGACGAAGGAAGACATCACCACTGGAATTGAGAACGGACCCGAAGCCCTAGTCTCGATGCTTCGTGGCGGGAACCGCGGAAAGGCTATCCTGAAGATCGCTGACCCTGAGTGAACTACACAAGACGAGAGAGTATCTATGCTCCAAGCTCACGCTGTCTAATCACTCCCGCCTATCATATATCTTGTCTCTAGTACCGAGTACAAATGAGTCTCAAATATGGAGATCTTGCCGTATCCCGCCAACATGACTGAAATCCGGAGGCCTATGATTACCTCGTTGCGCCACCATCTGTCGTAGTTCTATCTGAGAAGCCTCAATCAGAGCAATGAAATACACTACTAAAAAGCGCATAGCTCAACCATCACCCGGCCACCTCCTTCTTCCCCTTCCCCCTGCACGTGCCCAGCGCTATGGGTGGAACCACCATCCCCGCCAAGCGAGGCGCTAAAACTGGATCCGACGGCCCGGCCAAACCTTATCCGCCCCGGTGCGTTACACAACCGACCGCTGCACGTTCGTAGCCGTGGGCTGTGGGCCCCGCCCGCTTTTGCTGCTTCCCGAGGGGGGGGAGGCATAAGAAGCTTCAAAGCAAAGCCCAGTCCACTCCCTTTCCTGTCAGAATGTGGCTCTTGAGATCCAACGGGCACCACTAGGTCTCTTCGAGTCGTTTGAAGGGGAAAAGGCTCGCCTGCCTGGGGCACTGAGACTGGGATTCTCAGTGCCCTGCTTGCTGGATTTGTCTCAGGGTGTTTCATGCGTGGAGGGTCTCTTGGGATTGTAATGGGCTCTTACTCCGTGAGTGTAGATCTGAGGGTTTGCTTCTGGCTTTGGCGTGGTATCTGCTGAATTGCCGAACTGCGGCCGGGGACGGGAGAGTTGTTCATTTCTTGGTGCGGTTAGGGCAAAGTCACGGTTGGACTCAGTTACCATTTGAAAGTACCCGGGTGAGTATTTGGCTAGGATATGTCTTGTGATGAGATGCGATGTATGGTCCCCCTGCCTCTTAAACTTGTGTTTCGAGAGATGCGCTGAGTGGCTTATACCCTGTTGTCTCAGTAGCTACAAAGCTTGTCAGTGAACGGAGCCCATGTCCTGTACTGTTTGGCGGACATGACATCGCGCCCAAGGGACATCGGCAATGGCGTTGCCTCCTACCTTTTTCTTCATTGAATTCTATCTGCTGTGGAACAGGGTCATTGAAGTAAGAAGTCTCGTGTAGCGCCGCGAATCGGGGTTAAGCGTCGCTCAGGAGAGATCTATGTAGAAGGTACAGTGGGACTGGGGCCTGTCTCGATGTGATAGATTAGGTATGGATTGTCTATGGCACTGTACAGTACAGTTGGTCAAGTAAGATACTCTGAGTTGGGTCTTCTGCCATGGCCACCTTTCCATGTTCTCTTTCTCTCAACACACATGGATCAATGTTGACAGTGATCCAGCACTGTCGATTCAATCCTCCGTAGGCGTGCATGTGATACCGCCCGACGTCTAGGGATTCTTGTCCCTCGCTCCACGTTCTTGCTGCGGGCCTCACAATCTTCACCGGGCGGAATTGGTGAACCAGGCGGCAATATCAGTCAAAATATGCCAGAAGCTCTGGTGGTTTTGCACGTATGCCTGCTTTCACAGTTGCCAGGCCATTCTTGGCCCTCCGTGTTTCTCGAGTTTCCTGTCGGCTAGATACACCATTGGGTTCCGCAGGAACTCAACTGCCGCTGTGGGAGGGTCATGAGTCGTCAGCTGTCTGGGTTTCATAAACTATCGCGCATAACAAGAGGAAAACGAATCTTCCAAAGAGAGCAGCACGAGAACAAACGAATGAAAGCGAGTAGGAAAACCTTACCATTCGCAACCAGCTCCGGCTTTTCCAGAGCCAGGTGAAGCCCCTCGTAGTCTACTTCCTCAATATAGGAGGTAGGAAAGAAAGAGCGGATGGCTTCGGCCCCCTCGTCCTCGGGTATGTAGTAGCTATCACGCGAGCGCAGGAACAGCGCCGGCCCGCTGAACCGATTCGCATCGTCCTCCCGGAACGGAAACTCCCCCATCGCTTCGCGGGCCTCCCACAGGATATTCTGCGGGATCCGCGGCCTTACATAGGGGTGATCGTCGTGCTTCTCCAGATTTCGGAGGAGCCAAGGCCGCATCCCTGCCTTCTATTCGGGGAGGTTAGATCAGGGTCATAGACTGGGAGATCAAAGACAGATAGAAAGAATCGATGGATAATCCCGACGCTCCTGGAGAGCATCATGGGGTAACTGACCCGATTCCAATAGTACATCACTCTGCGCGCCTCTCGGAGCTCGGTAATGCGCATCTTGAGGATTTGCCGATAGGCGTGGAGCCATTGTAAGTAAATCGGCGGAAGGGGTTTCCAGACCGGCGAATCGTCAATGGAGACAATATTGGTCACGAGTTTTGGGTCGTAGAGGGCTAGAGTCATCGCTGTCTTGGCTCCCCTGATGGCTGATCGTCAGGAATCATGAAAAGCTAATGTCCCCTGTTTCGAAGGGTGAGATGACCCACTGGGAAGGCTTACATCTGATTGCCGACAAGAGACACATTTTTGAGGTTGTTCTCTTTCATAAGTCCTCGGATATCCAGCGCCAGTCTGAGGTAGTCATGTCTCCATTTGGTGCCAGATTCGCCATGGTTACGAAGGTCCTGTTTCCCCGGGCGTCAATTGCCTGGGCACGAGGTTAAATGGCTTACTAAGATCCGCACTTACCAGATTATACACATCTCGCTTGAGTTCGGTGGCTAGAATCCTAGGCCGGGGGTTTTGGTGAGTATCCCGTAACATGTGGGATGAGGAAAAGGCTTAAAGCATTCATACTTGCTAATCGGACGGAGTTCCTCTCTACAGCCGAGGAATCCATGAAGAACTATAATTGGGTTTGGTGAGTCCCCAAGCTTATCAGGATGTCCCTTGTAGACATCGAAAGCTATCTTTGGGTTGGGGTTTTTGGCGTCGATACGAATGGACCTCTGGAAGGGCATGAATTTGGAGGACTGTCGGGGCATCGCCAATCTTGACGACGGTGACAGATGTGAAAACATTTTTACAAAGAGCAGCCCTCGCCAGGCGACAAGCACAGAAGTCGATATCAAGTCTCAGATAGAATCCATGCGAGCTATTTCAGAGCTTCCATGTCTCAGAATCTGGTTTGGTGGTTTGTTGAAGCTTATCGATTGATGGATGGATAGGTTTGTCCATCTGGTTTGCATCTTCATCGATCCTGCATGTTCTGATTGCGCTAGACCGTATTTGGCTTAGTGCTTCGGTAGTCATCCTAGCTACTATGAGTACTGTAGGTATACAATAACCAAGGTGCTGACTACTAGAGCATGCTGAGGTGAAAGGCAGGCGCAGCATTCCTTGTACAAGAAGAGAATTGTTACCTGGTTCGAGGTGAACGTTTCAAATAACTACCAGAGGTCATACTTTGAGGTTCGTAACAGTTTGTGCCCGAGGAGCTTACGGGAAAACCAACCATTCTATTCTCACAAGACCCTACTTGTACTTGAGCAAAGTACGCAAGGACCTGCCTGGTTTAATTGCTCCACCTGATGCGAGATTCTACGTCATCCATAAGATCTTTGAACCTATTGCAGGTCAATTCCATAATATTGTGCTCGGTTAGCCAGCCTGTCTGATGCCGGCATGGCAACATCCGTTTTGAGAGCCAAAACGAATTAGACCAGAGGTCAAATGCAGCGGCTTCAATGGGAGCCAAATGAAATCGCAACGGTTAACCGGCACATGAGATCAGAGTGAGAATCAAGGCATTGGCGCAAAGACGCCCGCCAGTCCTGCTGATCTCGTCTGCACGGAAGCGACGGCTAGCCCGGACACCGAGTCTTGAATCCATACTTTGACCACAGACCAAATGCGAGATAAGTCGATATCATCGTCCGGTGGTGGGTAGTAGCTGCTGACAGAGACTGGATCCTTGGCTGGCTGCTGCAATGAGTCTGATACGAGTGGTCACGCTCCTGCTCGTATCGCCTGCTATCTGTGAAACATTGAAGACGATTATCCAATTGAGTTCTGGATGGTTGGTTCGAGCTTGGTGTTTACTGCGCAAAGAGGGCTGGGATATCGCTGGGGACAATATTCTAGTCAGCAAGGGCCCGCAGAGCGTCTGGATCTGGACGTCGGCTTGTCCTGGATCATGCCTTGCCGAAATGTCAGGATCTGATGCAGATTCAGGCAGGGGCTGGGGGCAATCCTCGAAAGTGGAGGTGGACCGCCATGTTCGAATTGGTGGAATTTCGCAGACTAACTGAACAGTCAACGGATCTGTGAGCGAATGGTATCAGTATGGAAGTACGGGAAGGTGCGACGTCGGGGTAGGTTTGGGGGTCTGAGGAGATGATCTCCATGGGCAGGATGGGCAGGTGAGAGGCGGACTGAATCTGGGGATGGAATGGAAATTCATGGGGACAAATCGGCAATTGGAAGGGAGATCTCGATGCCGGACCAGTCGGCAATTGCTGCAAAGCGGAAGAGCCGGGGCAGCTGAGTCACCATTTCCGACAGCTCTCATTGGAGTCAACTGTCGAGCTTGCCTCTATAGAGTGGGCACTAAACCCAATGGGAGGTAGCGTGGCCCGGAAACCGGTCGCTGGGAAACTCGCGGCGGAGTCTCATTGTTATTTCTCTCAGTGCTGCAACCCCAGACAGAAACATCTTTATTGTATGTATGGAGTATGGAGTATGTTGTTTGCTCCTCTCGAGCCAGGATGAAGATGCACCTGGTGCACCTGATGCACCTGATACTTGGCCATTCAATTGAAAGCTGATCACGGTTCCACATGTTCCTAATCCCCCTCATTTCTCCCCTCTCTCGGTGGCTCTTTCTGCGGAGGCTTGGAGGCTTGAGATGCCAGAAGATTACCACCCGGCCCACCCCTTCATCCCCCCCCTTAGACTATCCGTGACTCTGACTCTTCCCTCTCCGCCCTCTCCGGTCAAAAATGGGGATTGCCAAATGTTGGTTCATCTCCATTCCGCGGTGAATGGCAGGTTTCGTCTGGTGGAGAATGCTCGCCTTGGGGAGATGTCGCGTCCTGCCGCCAATCCCGGCCTCTCCCCCCCCCCCCCCCCCAGCCAGACAGAGCTCTCACAAAATAATCATGTTTGACCCAGCTTCGTATAATCCCGCTCTCGGCCGTGATTCCCCAGTGTGTCAAGATCGGAGGGAGGTTCGGATCGATGAGGTTTAGGGAAGGAGGTGTTTGTTTGCCATGAAACGCATTCTTATATCAACCGCAACAGCTCCTCCCCATTCCTGACCCTACCCTGTGGCAAACCAATTCGTTGCCCCAGATTTTGTACGGTACCAAATTTGGCTCCTATATCGGATATCGGCGCCTCCAGCCAGCGCAAATTTTTATCAAATTAAATTCTCCTTTTTTTTGCCCGTCTTCCTTCCTTCTTCCTTCCTTTCTTTTGCTATCCTTTGTATCAATATCCTAGATAACCATGGCATTTGCGCAGGCCAGGACTCCCCTTGAGGTGATTATCGTTGGGTAGGTTATTCATTCATTTCCCGCTGTCGCGCTGCAATTGCCACTAACATCGTTCAATAGAGCGGGTACGCCAAGATGATTCTTTTGGCAAGAAGATTGCATTGTCGCTGACAGACGTAGGCATTGGCGGCATGGCCGCAGCCCTAACTCTGGGTCTACGAGGACACCAGGTCACGATCCTGGAGTCCGCGCCTAAGGTATGCCAGTATTGATATAGACCTGGTCATGTTGAAGTTTTGCTCTAATAACAAGGCAAAATAGCTTATGGAAGTTGGAGCGGGCATCCAAGTCTCTCCTAACATGCTCCGATTGTTTGATCGTAAGCATCAATTCTGTGGCAGTCGGAATGCTCGAACTGACACAGAACTCTAGGCTGGGGTGTCTCTCCCTCCATTCACGCCAAAGATGTTGCCCTCGAGCACATCCACGTTCGTCGGTGGCAGGACGGCTCGTTACTAGGCACTATGCCCGTTAACAAGACTTACGGTCAACAGGTGGTCATCCACCGCGCGGACCTCCACAACGCACTCATTGACCAAGCGCTGGCGCTGTCAAATGTGGAACTGCGCGTCAACTCCACGGTCACCGATGTTCAATTCGACCAGGCAGCGGTGACGCTCGCAGACGGCACCGTCGTCAAGGGCGACGTTGTCATTGCGGCGGACGGCATCAAATCCGGCATCCGGGGTCAGCTCCTCAACGACTACTCCTGCAAGGCCATCCCCACGGGCGATGCCGCCTACCGGATCATGCTTCCTCGCAGCGCGCTCGAAAGTGATCCCGAGTTGAAGGCCCTGATGGACGAGCCCCAAGCCACGCGTTGGCTCGGCCCCAATCGCCACATCATCGCGTACCCCGTGCGCAACCACGAGCTCTACAATGTCGTGCTGCTGCACCCCGACAGCCACGGCGTCGAAGAGTCCTGGACCACCAAGGGCTCCAAGCAGGCCATGATCGACAACTACCGGGGCTGGGACAGTCGCGTGACGAAGCTCATCGACCTGGTGCCCGACGACGAGGTTCTCGAGTGGAAGCTCTGCTTGCACGCGCCCTTGAAGACCTGGATCCGGGGCAACGTCGCTTTGATTGGTGATGCCTGCCATCCGATGCTGTACGCCCATCGCCCCGCGCTACCACACACGTTCCCCTTTCCCACCCAAGTCACTTCACTAACCCCTCAAAACTAGACCCTACGTTGCCCAAGGCGCCGCGCAAGCCGTCGAAGACGCCGCCGCGCTCGGCATCCTCCTCTCCACCATCCCCTCGCGCGCCGCCATCCCCGCCGCCCTGCGCGCCTACGAGCAATCGCGCAAATCCCGCGCCGAGACCGTGCAGCAGTCCGGCTCCGAGAACCGCATCACCCTGCACTTCCCCGACGGGCCCGACCAGATCGCCCGCGACGAACAGTTCCGGACCGCGCTGACCAGCGGCTCCAACCCCGATCGCTGGTCCGATCGCGAAACCCAGAGACGTCTCTGGGGGTGGGATGCCGAGAAAGCCGCCCTGGACGTGTGGAATGGTAAGCTTCTCCCGCTCAAAACAAATCTCTCTCCCGCGAAGGAACCACCGAACAAGGGCACACTAACACCCGTGAATAGAAATGCATGGCGACGCCGTCTCGGAAGTCCGTCACCATCTCTAAGCCTTTTCCTTCACACAAACTCTAAACCTTAACGTTTCATCGATTTCCCCCTCATCTCCTGTCTCAGGATTTGACGTGAAAGCTTTTTTTCAACCACGGATGATACCTAATGTCTTCAACGGCCTTACTCTTGATGATTCAACCTCGTTTTTCTCCCCCTCTTTTTGTCATCGACGATTACGCCCCTATTTGGATTTTTTCTTTATTTCAGCGGGTTTTCATGTGGATTCTCAGCGACTTCAACTCAACTTGATTTGTCGTATACCCCCCTTTGGTTCTTCTTGTTTGATTTATGTGGGTTTTGTGGGCTTGAAGGAAGTGTTGGGCTCGGCTCTGGGGGTGGATGTTTTGTACATAGACTTCTTGCGTGGCTTATAGATTTGCTGTGTTTAGTGGCTGGCTTAAATTATTCTGGTGCAGTGAGTTAGTACATTACAGTAATAAATCTGTGTCAAGTGATTGCCCGGCGCGATATGTGGTTAGATTTTTCCAGAATGAGTCGTTGAATGGCAGTGCCACTGTACTAAGCTGTCGCTCAGAAAGACAAACAGCGCATATAGTATACTCTAATGCTCTATCATGACTATACTTATATTCAACGCAGCCAAACACTACGGTAGATGGCAGGACTAAGAATGTACACAACAACCCCCGCCGGACACTGGATGTCTGATCAGCGACAACCTCACCAAATCCGCTTGGCGACCATCTCATACCGCTGCACGTGATCCAGATGCAGCTCCTCCTTGCCACCACCAGCCTTCGCGTCCTTCTCCTCCTTCGCTTTGAGTCTCCGCAGACCATCCGGGTCATCGGCGTAGATCCACCGCCGGTGATCGTCGTTCACCTCGACGACGCCCCATCCGCCGACTCGACGGCTCCCCTCGACGGCGAATTCGCGGGGGCGGGGCTGTGCTGCTGCTGCTGCTGGCGCGGCAGGCGGGGCGGTGGTTTCGGAGGGAGCGGGATCGGTTGTAGTAGTGGCCGTGGGCCCTAATCCGCCGGCCGTGGAGGAGGTTGAGGCCGGGACGGCGGTGGGGTGGCTTTGCTGTTCTGCCTCGCGCAGTTTCATGGCTTTGTAACGGGAGCGGGCGAGCGCGAGCAGGAGCATGCCGAGCAGTAACTTGAGGATCAGGAGGACGACGTAGCCGGTCAGGATGAGGACGACGGTGAAGATGTAGACGGATGAGGCCGGGGTGGGCATGGTGTTGGCGAGCATCTGGCGGAACCAGGCCCCAGCGTAGGCGGTCGAGGTGGGGATGAAATTCTGGAAGGTGAGCGGGGGAGGGGAGGGCATGGGCGCGGGGACGTATTGACTGTGGATGGCCGTGAGGGAGGTGGCTTCGACCGCGGTGGACGAGGCGGGCTGCTGGGGGAGTAAGGCAGCGATGAACATCTGGTAGGTCTGGACGCTGACGCGGAAGAAGAGGCAGGATAGTGGGATCACGGGCAGTCCGAGCCGGCGCATGAGGTTTTGGTCCGCGAACGCATTCGTGTAGTAGTCCTTGGCCAAAATGTCCAGGAAGCGACCGTAGATGGCCGGACGGGTGTTGTTGAACTTGTTGATGTACGCGTGCTTGAGCCAGTCGACTAGCATCTCCGAGCCCAAGACGACGAGGAAGGGTCCTAGGACTTGCGCCAGCGTCGGAAGGTAGGAATTGGCTTGGCTGAAGGAGGCGATGATAGATGACGGGACGATTGTGAAGGCCTGCGGGAGGATCGAGGATGCAGTTCGTGGTGGAGTCGACAGCGGCGTGCTGTTGGTGCTGGTTGAAGTGAAGCTAGAACCCAACCCACTGAAGATATTGAATGCCCCAGTTTCCACAATGTTGCGCGATGCGATGATCGTCAGCATGAGCCAGAGTTGAAAGCGTTCTACCACGTCCGCGCAGGTGAGCTGAAAGAGGTTCTCCTTTTCGAATTTTTTGAAGACCGTGGACTTGATCTCGACAAATTGATTGGAGAGCAACAGGGTGATCAGCGCATTGGAGTAAGAGTTCACCGCAACGTTCAGCGTCATCACCTGATAGAACAGTGCTGTCGAATGGATGACTGTGTAGCCTAACGCTAGCAAGAAGAGCCCAAACGGGCGGAAGACCTTGCTGCGGCCGTCGGGTCGCCGCTCCAGCGCTTCACGCGAGAATAGGCACTCAAGCACGTCCTGACCGATGGCGCCAAACAGTCGATCGCTGACTTCTAGCACATTGTAGATCACGTACAACTTGATAGCTGCCTGTCCGCGAATCCAGTGGTACATCCGGCTCGCATCGAAGCGCATCAGAACGCAGCAGGTAGCGATCATGAGCAATCCCTTGAGGATGTCGGCCTTGTCGTCTGGCATTAGGGCTGACGGGATACTCTTCTGCCGCCGATGCTGCGCTCGGTGACCATGAGATCGGTGCCTTTTTCGAGACTCGGTTGCCTTAGCGCGGGAATCTCGTTCCCCGGGTGCGGTTTCGCCCTTGTGTGTGCGTCCCACGTCGGAGCCACGCGGTGGCTCGTCGATGGATACGGTCCTGTTACGCCTGCGCCATACCCGGCCCACGCCTTTGATCACAAAACCAGCCACGTACCGAAACTCCACACCCAAGTTTAGAATCCATGACTCAACGAGTATGTACAGAGCCTTCAGAAACCGGAGCGGAAGAATGGTAAAAGAATGCAACCACGCATCCAGACATGCCAATATACCGAACCAGAGTACCTGCTCTACCGCCGGCGGCAGCATCAAGAAATTCATGAGTCTTTCAAGCTTGACTCGAGAAGACTCGTAAGGGAAGTCGGTCATAGCAGAACGGTGAATGTACAGCGGTGAGGGGCGGCCCGATGCCAGCTCTAACTGGAGGTAAGTTGGAACGGATAGAGGCGGCAGAGGGATGTTCGGGGGCATCGGTGAAGGCAAGGCCTGTTCTTTCATCTGTGGGGAAGGTTCAAGGTGTTTCGAATCCGATTCCCGAGTAATCGAAAGGCGATCTTGTTTTGTGCGAGACGCCCATGTCTGAGCCAGCCTGTCATTCGTCGCCGGCAAGGTCTGTCGGCGTGAGTTAGGTGTTGACACCGCCCGTGAGTTTAGTGGTCGATTTCGCGAAGAGGATGACGCAGGTGTTCTCCCAGTCGAGACGGTCGAGGTGTCGATGGATAGATCTTTGGGCAGACGGAGTTTAGGTAGAATATCGGATGTAAATTTAGGTTCATCCACAGACGGCAGGCTTGTGGGCTCTGGCGTTTCAAACTGCGCAGCTGCTGCATGCATTCCATCCGATACTGCCCGTCGTCCGCGTTCTGATTGCTCCGGTGGCGCTGCACGATACGGGATAGACTGCGGTGAGGATGTGAGTTCCTGCATCTTGGCGGGAGATAATTTCAGCACGCGATCTGGGTCCTTGTCGTGGTTCCTGGAAGGCGATGTGTCTCGCGACCACTCGGTGAGCGTTGATTGCACTGCGGAGCCTTCGAAGACATCCACTAGGGATGTTCTGGAAGTCGTGCGACGGCCTGGGGTTCCAGGGGGCTCCTCCGAGTGCTCAAATACCATCCCTAGCACTTGATCCGACGCCAGCGCGAACTGACCGCTTTTCCGGTCGACGCAGGGGGTATGTTGGCTGAGGACTCCGTTAGAATCGTGTTCAGAGTTGTCACCGACTCCATCTGGCAGCAAGTTGGCCCTAGAATTAATCCGGTTGGCGTAAGTCGCTGTAGTGTCCGGCGCCGGCGTTTGTCCGCATTGCGCATGGGAGCCCACCACGGGCCGTTCGTCAGTCTCCACGGGTTGATTCACACCACTCGAGACTGTTGGTCGCTTTGTTTTTGGTGACTTTGGGCTTTGGATTCCAGCGGCCAATGCATCATCAGCTTCTGGGCTTTGTGGTGTTGCTGGTGTCCATTCCTGCTGAGACGAGCCTGTCGCCTCGCCGTTAACGAACTCCCGCCCTCGTTCGTTGTGACTTTCACGCATGCCGTCTATATTGGCTACCGTTCTTGGCGAGTCATTGCGTATAGATCTTGAATCAGCCGCTAGATCTGCGTTGTCTTCTGTGCGGAGCATTGAGGAAACCAGGGTCGCAATCGAGGAAGGCAAGGACACGATGTCAGCGGTAGCGCTCCGTGCGCAATGCAATCGGTCAACCGTGCTTTAAGGAGGGTTCAACTTCATTTCGGGGTCAGATAGTCCAGTGCAAAGTCGCTGTTACAGCCTACGAGGCAGGCCAAGGGTTGCGACCGTTGATAATGAGGATAAAGCGAGTCAGGGTCTTTGCTGAATGACTGGATGATAGAGCAAGCCAAGGGAGAGCAAAAGCCCGGGGACAATCATGAGGCGGTCAACAAAGCGGTGGGCCGGCTGTCATTGTAGCCCATGACTAAGCAGGGTCTTACTTCCCCACAATCTTGGTCTTGTCTTGACTGATCGTTCTCTTCTACAAATCAATCACTCACGTTTCCTGGTGTTCCCTCTGCTCAATTGATCTTAGATTGGATGTATGTCTGATCTCATGAATGGTTCATGAGCCCTGATCTCAAGCATAATTTGTTGTGTTATGCTCTCATTGTCAAAGTCCTGAGTTCCCACCTCCTATACTACCGATCTTGATCAATAACCACCACCAATTCGACTCCTTCAAGATGCCATCCATGCCATGCTGCTCCAGCCAGCAATTCAAACCATGCGCACCCCTTAAATTGAGAGAACCACAAGCGACACTATACAATTAGCTGTCAAGACCCGCTCACCTCAGCTTCTATAGTAAATAGCCGAGGGGGGCGTTTCCTGTGTCTGTCCCTGAGCAGGAGTTGAACATTGACGCTAGTCACCTCGCCATCGACGGCAAGCATGGCGTGCTCCTCCACCACAATCACCTTCTCCCACCCTGGTTCTGCCCTGTCATTTGCAGCCATCAACCATGAGAAGGCTTGGGCCACGAGCTCCTCCGATCCAGGGCGTGGCCATGTGGGTACCAATCCAGTGAATTCTGTTTTTCTCCCCCGATGGTGTCATCGGCTCTTCCGGATAGTTAATGATGGCCAGCCAATACTGGCGCGCGATGGTCTTGAAGGCCTGGACATCTTGCGATAAGCGAACTTTTTATCACGTAGCTCCGCATGTCATTTAATGAAGGCGCGCTCGAAATGACTCTTCCGGGTTGAAGGATTTTTATTCTACGCGAGCAGTCGTCCCCTCTTCTTCCTCACTCTCCCCCTTGAAGCAGCTCCAAGTAAGAACTTGCTTCACTATCGACCTGAGATTCTCCTCGTACGAGCACAGCCTGGCTAGTTTTGGCGACGATGACGATTGCATCGGCCAGCTCAGAGACCTTGAGGGCGGATAGGAATGTGGATGAGACCACCCCCCTGAATCCAGCAGCTTTGGATACAAATGTCACGAATGTATCGAATTACCAAACTGTCTCCAAGGGGCCAGCAAGTGATGTTCAAAGCAGCCATGACACGGACGAAGAACGTCCGCTAGTCAGTCCAGCAGAGTCCTCGGAGAACAACAAAGTGCAGGCGTTGGCTAGCGTCAAGACAATTATCGCTGTTTTACTACTGGGTATGGATGAACGACTGGCTTGATCATGATCTCGACCGATGCTGACCTTGAGTAGGTGAATTCATCTCCAATGCAGACACCACTCTCGTTATGGCTACGACAGGGAAGATCTCGTCCGAATTCGATCGTTTGCGTGATGCCAGCTGGCTGGCCACGGCTTTCACGCTCGGTCTCTGCGCGGCACAACCCATGGTGAGCTAACATAGAATTTCTATGGCTTCGATTGATGCGCTGACAGCTGTGGCCTGCTAGTACGGAAAGTTGAGCGATATCTATGGCCGCAAGCCGCTGTTGCTCTGGGCGTACTTTTTCTTCGGCCTCGGATGTATCATTAGGTGAGTGCTACGTCCCTTGCAACCACGTTTAGGAGAATCGCCTTGACTCAAGTCTTTCTAGTGGGATCGGCTCGAGCATGTTAACTGTGATTCTGGGGCGTGCCATCAGTGGCTTGGGCGGTGCTGGAACAATGGCGATGGGTGTGATTATAATTACAGGTGGGATGGACAACGTCATGGCCAACTTTGATCACGGTTGCTAAACGCCTCGCAGATATTGTTCCCCGGCGAGATGTGGCCCATTGGCGTGCGTATGTCAACATCGCCATGACCCTAGGTCGAAGCGCAGGAGGTCCGATTGGTGGATGGCTAGCAGATACCGTTGGTTGGCGATGGTGAGCATTGCAGTCTATCACTGGATTCCGTTCTGCAATCTAATTATTTGACAGGTCATTCCTTCTTCAGGGCCCTCTCACTGTGTTGGCTGCCTTGCTCGTCGTATGGAAGCTCAAGCTTACCACCCCCACCACAAACAAGGATATTCGCAGGGTCGACTTCCTTGGGACATCTCTCCTCGCCGTTGGTATCATCACCACGACCCTCATTCTCGATCAAGCTGGAAAGGCCTTTGCTTGGGTCTCTCTTACTACTGCTTATCTTGGCACCACTAGCGTGGCTGCATTCGTTTCGTTCATTATTGTCGAGCTTCATGTGGCTCCAGAGCCCATCTTCGATCTGCGCATCTTGCGCCGCACCAACGTGCTTCCCAGTTACCTTATCGGAGCTCTGCAAATCACCGCGCAGGTTGGCATGATGTTCTCAGTTCCCTTATACTTCCAGGTCACATCTCGCGCCTCGGCCACAGTCGCGGGCGGGCATCTTGTTCCTGCAGTGATTGGTAATACGCTGGGTGGCTTGATCGCCGGTGCCTCCATCCGACGAACAGGCCAGTTCAAGGTCTTCTTGATCGTGGCTGGGCTAGTTGCATCGGTCACTTACCTCCTGCTTTTCCTTCGGTGGAATGGTCACACGGGCTTCTGGGAATCATTGTATATCATTCCGGGCGGGATGGGAACTGGCTTCGCGTCGGCTGCGGCCTTTGTTAGTATGACTACCTTCCTTGTGCCTCAGGAGATTGCCATGGCCACTGGAGGCTACTTTCTGCTGTTCAATTTCGCGATGACTGCTGGTGTGACTGTCACGAACAGTGTGCTGGGGACCGTCTTCAAGCACCAGCTGGAGCAGAATCTAACAGGGCCCGGAGCAAAGAAGGTAATTGGGCCAATGCGCATCCTGTGCTGCGTAATTTTCATTTATGCTGATTCGTTGCCTGCAGATGATCGAACGGGCTCTATCTGATACAGATTACATCAATGGGCTCAGTGGACAGGTTCACGATATTGTGGTCCGCGGGTACGTTACGGGACTCAAATACACATACTGTAAGTTGCAATGGCGGACCAATCTTTGTCTTACATACTTACCGTGTGTCTCTTCTAGTGTTTGCTCTGTCTCTTTCGCTGCTCGGGTCGTTGGTGGGCTGGACAGTCCGAAAGCATCAATTGTAAAAACAATACCTTCACATGAACGCAGGCATTGGAAGGCCTTGGATATATGTAGAAAAAGTGCTAAGCCTGGTTTGCACTGGATTAGAATGAATCAAGAACCTGTTAGACTGTTAAGAGGTGACTAGGTGAAAGCAGAAGGCACCATCCGTGACCAAGGCCAACATAGACTGGCAGTCAAGACAGAAAATGCCTCAGAGCCAAAAGACGCGAGAGCTTGATGTCACCCCACAGCTGTTCGCAATTGAATGCGGGGTGGTTTGAGTGTGTTTGATGAAATTGGGCTTCTTCCAAAGTGCCGAGGCTTGGACCGCTTCTTCCTTCTGTCTCTCTGCAACCTTTCATTTCATTTCGCTTCCTCCGCATCCCTTGGCCCCCTAATTCGCTCAACGCCCCCGGCCATCCCTCTTCTGCAGACAAGGCAATCTCCATCTGGACAATAGCGGGCGTTCTACAGCCAATCTTTTGATATTTTACACCTGCATGATCGGACATAAGGCCACTTCCTGGATGTGATTCATTGGCTAGCTTGTGCTTCGGCTGCAGAAATCCTGCTCGATCGGAGCTTGAACCAATCAACTCGCCCGCATAAGACCGTTCCTGGCAGGCAACGGTGCAAGAAAACAGCAGATCATAGGCGAGAAGAGGAAAAGACCGAGACTGCAGAAAGTCATCCGGTCATCCGTCCGTCTAGCAACTGAGAATAAGGTCCAAGCTGCTTTGAGGCACGGGAAATGACATATAAGATGGAATTGCCGAAGCCAACAATGCCGTGGCCGACCACCAACCCCTGAGTCTTCACTCGCAGTCACCTGCAAAGATGAGGTTTGCGGCACTTCAGACCCTTGTATCTCTGCCTCTCTTTGGCACTGTCGTTCGCGGCCTGTCTGCAGCAGAATGGCGGACTCAGTCCATCTATTTTCTTCTGACGGATCGGTTCGGCAGGACTGATAATTCGACAACTGCGACATGTAATACAGGGGATCAGGTATGTCTGGGCCAGACGGCTACTACTACGAGCCATTTCTGACCTCGCTAGGTCTATTGTGGTGGAACATGGCAGGGAATCATCAACCACGTAAGCCACTCCGCAACGCACAGTTTCGACGGAGGGATCTAACTTGCTCACACAGCTGGATTATATCCAAGGCATGGGCTTCACAGCTATCTGGATCTCGCCCGTCACCGAGCAGCTGTC